ATACAGGGTGTCCCAACAAAGCTCGGACTCATAGTGTTCCTCCTATCTCAGCCACCGAAGCGCTGGGATTACAGGTGTGGGCCACCTTGTGCGGCTTTGGTGGCTAACTCGGCATCTGGGGTTCAGGGACCTGCATGCTTTCCAGTACTGGGGATTGAACCAAGGTACCTGCGCTTGCCAGGCAGCAGCTTAGACCACTGAGCTATCTCCCCAGCTCTTCCTACTATTTATTTTTGCGGAACCGGGTATTGAACTGAGGCCCTTGCACCTGTCAGGGAAGTGTTTATTCCTCTGAGCCATCTCCCCGGCCCCTTTCCCACCATTTATTGAGCTTTTAGTGTGCCAAGCCCTTTAAGGTACTACTTTATTTAATTCCCACTACTCTGGAGCTGAACAGGAGGCAAAGCTTATGAAGTAGAACAGATGTAAGGTGGTGGGAAAGCAAGACTTCAGGCTTGGAGTTAGGGTTTTAAATTTTTCCTTTTTTTTTTTTTTTGAGACAGGGTCTTGCTATGTAGTTTAGGTTGGCCTTGAACTCACTTGTGTGTGTAGGCACTCTTGCCTTGAGCTCACAGTGACCCTAGGCTTGGAGTTGGAAAACTTAAGTTTGAATCTGAGCCCTGCTACTTCTTAGCTTGGGTAAATGATAAGAGCGTTATTGTGGACGTTGTGAAAACATTAAGTGTGAGCTGGTGAGATGGCTCAGTGGTCTAAAGCACCTACTTAGAACAAGCTTAGCAAAGCACAGGGACCGCGGTTCAATCCCCCAGCACCACCTGCCGGCCAGCCCCACCCCCTGGTGGGCTGAGCTGGCCCCCCCCCATACACACATAAATAAATTAAAAAAAAATAGAAAAGAAAACATTAAGTGTATGTAGATATAAGGAGAAGGGCTGGGAAAAAGCTCCGCGGTCTAAGTGCCTGCCGGGCAAGTGCAAGAGGGTCACTATGAGTCTGAATTGCATAGCGAGACCCGATGTCAAATAAATAAATAAATCATAAAAAATAGGAGGAAATCACAAGAAACAGTGTAGAAAGAGATTAAGAGGGGAAACTGCAGATTTTGTAAAAGGTATCACCTTGCAAAGATGCCTGATCCTATTTTTGGTGGAGGGAAGATGTGAGCATTAGCACAAGCCAGAGTGCAAGACAGTAGTGTCAAGAAGAGGGGCACTCTGGAGTGGGGAAGGAGCTCTTGGAAGAGGTGTCTTTTAGCCAGCTCCTGGACTTCCTTGTGTGTGAGAATATGTGGGGGCAGATCGCAGACCTACTGAGTTAGAACTTTCTTTTTTCTTTTTTTGGGTGGTACCAGGGACCGAATTCAGGGCCTAGTGCTTGCCGGGCAAACATTTATCCCACTGAGCTGTCTCCCCAGCCCTCTGAATTAGAATCTTGCCAAGAGGTCCAGTGTTACGCATTCATCCAAGTTCCCAAGCTTATGGTGATTCAAGTGGCCCAGAGAACAGGCTTTGAGAGAGGAAGGGCTTTGAAGGACAAGGAGTTGACTTTTATTAATTTGAAGCTTCCCCCTACAGTCTTTCCTGTGGGGAAGAAAGCACAGCAGCATATAGTGATTAAGGATGTAAGAACTGCACTGGGGCAAATCTGGCTTTGGGTCCTGGCTCTGTTATTTTCCAGTGATTTGAGTTTGGACAAGTCATTTGGCTTCTCCATGTCTTCAGTCCCTTATGGTTAAAATAAAGATAATAGAGCCAGTGAGATACCTCAGTGATCTAAAGGACCTGCTTAGGCAAGCTTAGGCAAAAGCACAGGGACTGCAGTTGTATCCCTGGCACCACATGCTGAGTAATCCCAGCCCCCAGGGCATGCTGAGCTGGCCACAAAAAAAAAAAAAAAAAAAAAGAAGAAGAAAGAAAAAAGAATAGAACTTGATATGTAGCTCAGTGGTGGACCATTTCCCTAGCATGTATGAGGGCCTGGATCTAATTCCCAGCTCAAGAAAAGAAAAAAAAAAAAAAAAAAAAAAAAGATGAGTAATGTCAAATGAGCTATTACTCACTTGAAGCATTTACACGCTACTTGGCATGTAGAAGCATTTGATAACTATTACTAAGGGGTTATTATAGAGATTCAGTGAGAACTATCACATTTAAAAAACTTGGGATGGCTCATACTATAGGCTCAGTAAATGTCTGCACTGATTTTTACTATTAATGGAAGTTGATGCCCCATGGTAGGGGAAAGACCTAGTCCCACAGATAGGTGTGAAAATATACACATGAGTGTACATACAAAACACTGTGCTATTCACTCACTTTCTTTAAAAAATTTTTTTTTATTAAATTTATTTATTTATTTATGTGTGTGTGTGTGTGTGTGTGTGTGTGTGTGTGTGGCCAGCTCAGCCCACCAGGGGGCGGGGCTGGCTGGCATGTGGTGCTGGGGGATTGAACCGCAGTGCTTTGCTAAGCTTGTTCTAAGTAGGTGCTTTAGAACACTGAGCCATCTCACCAGCCCCATATTCACTCACTTTCACAGAAACACAGGAACATTCTTGTATTGGGAGGTATAAAATAACTCTCTGAAACTCCCTACATGACATCTACTGAACTTGTCTGTGCACTGGCTCTTTTGAATCCTTACGCAGCCTAGCCAGGAAGCCTGGAGAACCATCCAGCACATCTTCTTGGGGCTGGATTTTGTTTCTTTGTGTATCCCACTTTAGTCTAGGCCATCTGGGTTCTCACAGTGGCAGTTTGACAACCATCTATTGAGGAGTTCAAGTCCAATTGTCCTGGCCTTGCCTTTATGACTTTGCATTGTGATTCCCACCCACCCTGTCTTTCCAGCTTTGTCCCCCCCCCCCCAAACAGGGATTGAACTCAGGCCCTTGCACTTGCCAGGGAAGCGCTTATTCCACTGAGCCATCTCCCCGACCCAGCTTTGTCTCCTACTAGTGATGTGTATTGTCTGTGACCTAAGTGCACCTGGTACTCACCTTTGCTAACACTTCCTTGTCCTATGCTTTTATTCAGGCTGATTCTTCTGCCTGAAATGCTGTTCTCTGCTTTACTTACGAGGGCAATTCTAGGTTCAGATATCTTGTTGAGTCAATTTCTGCTACCTTTGTGTCTTCTCTGGACCTGTTATTTAGGATTTTGTCTCACAGTTATTTATGTGTCCACCCCGCCCCCGGGCAAGAGTGGAGCTTCAGGTAAGATGTTTGGTTCCTCTCCATGACACCAGCACTCAGTATGGGGCCTGGCACAAGGTAGGCGTCATAAATATTCCATGAGTTGCAGGTAATTGAATTTCTTCATGGCCTGGAATGGTGTAGTGCAGTTGCCTTTTCCCTAGATTTGGACCCTTTAGTCAGGACTAGGAATTTCCTTAATATTAAAAAAATTTTTTTTCTTCGTATTTTTTTCTTCCTTTGGGGATTATAGAAGGTTGCAGTCTTAAAGCAAAAATGGTCTCTGTGGCCTGCCCCTGCACAAGGAACAATGGGATGTGGAGTTAGTCAGATCTGGGCAAGTCCTGGGTCTACCATTGACTAGCTGTGTGACCTTGGGCAAACGCCTTATGCTCCCTGTTTCCACACCCATAAAGCGAGATCATCAGTTAACCCCAGGTATGAGGCTCCCCTCAGGGTCCTCTGCCAACAGTATCATTGGCTGCTGTTTCTGTTCACCAGCTTTTTCGCTTTTTCTGTGTGGTCCTGTCTTCGCTCCAGAGTCTACCTCTGTTTCCCATCACTTTTCCTTCTTTTACCTCTGCTTCCCTTTGACTCTGTGTTGAATCTGCTGCCTGTGGTTCTTGTCTTTTGTCCTCTTCGGCATCTCAGCCTGGAACTCTTCAGAGAGAAGACCAAAAGCCCAGAAAGGTTCAGCTCTGCCTCATCTAGCCCTAGGACACCTTCTAGGAGTCCCGACCTTTATGTGAACTTGCAAGGAGAGGAGGCAGAGACCAGAGAGGGCCTACATAGATCTTGACCTCCCAGGTTCTGTAATTGGAGATCAGAATTTATTGCTCTTCTGCTTGATGCTTCAATGGCTTTCCATTATTCTTAGGGTTTAACTCAAGCTTCTTCCTTGCTTATAGTTTCTTGCAAGACCTGAGGCTCTGCTGACCCTTTTCAGCCGCAGCTCCACTCTGTTTGCCTTGGCCTCCTTGCTAACTCTAACCCACTAGCTCTTGCCTTTGCGCAGACTGTCTCCTCTGGCTGCAGTGCTCTTCCCTGCTGATTTGCATGAGGCTGGCTCCTCAGTCTCACCTACTGGTATCATGTCTCTTCCCAGAAAAACTGGCATCCTGTCTCTCTTAGACCACCTTGTCTGAAGAAACCTTTTTCCATTTCCTTTAACACAGCACTCCATCTGTTTTCTTTAGAGTGCATGTCTCATGTTGTAATTATACATTTACTTGTTTGCTGTTCTGTAAGCTTCATGAAGGCATGGACTATGACAGTGTATATTCATTTATTATTTACCTATCCATCCAATATTTACTGAGCCCAACTTCATGCCAGATACCAGGCCCTGGGCTACAAGACAGTATTTCCTAAGAGGAACATACCTTATAGAGGTGGAAATAGTAACAAATCCATCAAATGG